AGCATAAATACTGGAAATCTCTAATAAATTTTAAATAATAATGAAGAAGAAGAAGAAGCAGCTACATTTACATCACTGGGAGGTTTTTAATTAAAAGCAACACCTTTAATTGTATGGTACTCTGCAGGTCACAAAATACTTGAAAACAGTGGGTTTTCTTCAACCTATTTGAGATCAGGAATCCCTTTGTGAGGCTAATGAAAATTCTGCACCTGCTCTCCAGGGGTTAAAAAAATTGAACATGCACATAACACATAAAATGCTAAATACCAGCACTGTCTATAGCACTGGGCTTGAAAGACACTTCAGGCTTATATGTATGCTTGTACAAAATCCCAACAGGATGGAGAAAGGGTGGAGAAGGGACTGCGGTGTGATCATGTGCCATTGCCCACTGTGGGTGCTTTCTTCCTCGCCCTCTCTCTGTCTCTCCCTGGCAAGCACATCTGCTCTCTGGCAATTAAAAAAAAAAAAACTATGTGCAAATACTTTGAATCAGTAAGTCCAAGACTAGTAAATTTTTGTAAGAATATAATCAAAATAAATGTCAAAATGATGTACAAGGATGGTCACTAGAGCCCTGTCTATAATAACTGGAAATTTGGAACAACTTAAAGGTTTGGCAAAAGGGATGTGCTTTCATGAATTATGAATGTCCATAATGGGATGACTAGAAAGCCTTTTAAAATGTCTTCACAGGAGGCTATTTATTGACACAGGAAAAGATTCATGAAATAACAAATGAAGGGACCAGCAGTTGACGTAATGGCTATGTCACTGGACTCCCATGTAGTTGACTACGGTTCGAGTCCTGGACCCAGTGGCTTAAACTCATGCTGGGCACGTGTGCATGCGTGCCCAAGATCCCAAGAGAAGAATGGAAGAGAAGGGATTGCAGCATGGTCATCCCCCCTGGGGGGTGATTTCTCGCTTTCTGTCTCTCTCTCTCACTCTCTCTGCCTTTCTGGTGAGCACACACACCCTATAGCCAAAACATCTGTAATAAAAAAAAAGAAAAGAAAAGAAAGAAAGGAAAAAATAGTGAAGCTAAAAAAAACAGCATAAATTTTTTTTTCAATACTGGATAAAAACTACACATAGAAAAAAACTAATAAAAACATAGATATGGATAGTAAGCTGTTTATCAAACTGGCAGTTAAGACATAAATTAGATTTTAATTTTAATGTTTGTATTTCCATCATTCTGTAATAAAAGCATACCGCTCTGTAGTTTCTTTATGAGATCTTAAAAAATAAATGATAGGTTGTGGAAGGTTTAGACACTCCACTTCTTTCTGTAAAGGACTAAAGAGCTGGATTGATGCAAAAGCATTTTTATAAGTCCTGCCCCCCTGCCTTTTTTATAAACACCAACACAATTTGGACTCCATTTGCAAAGCATCCGTGACACCATCCCTCTCTCTCTGTGCTCCCTGGGTCCATTCAGAGTTCATTTCTAACTCAAAGGGTCTAACTTTGGAGAACTCTTCACGCCATCACCAACTGAGCTGCGGGGAATGACATGGACAATGTATCCACTGTTACTTGGTCACCCCGCCAACTGTCATTTTTCAGAAACCCCTGTTGTCTGAAACACACACTGGCTTTCAAGAAGGCAGGTTGCTTAGCAACTGCCAACGACTTGGGAGACAGAATCAAGCGTCCACCAGAGAGAGTTTATGAGCAGAGTGAGCTGTACGACGTGTGTCTGGTTGTGCTCACAGTAACCAAGGAGGAGACAACACCCGACTATTTTTGCATCATGAGGAAAAATATCTGGCTCCCGGCCAGAAGGGCAATTACCTAAAAGTCTTGGCAGGCCCCATGGTATGAGAAATGGTAACTGATACAGGGGTGAAAAAAAAAAAAACACTGACCTTCATAAATACTGATGATATGAGGATGGTTGAGGGATGACATGATCTCAATCTCTCGTCTGATGTGAACCATGTCTTGTTCATCCTTAATTTTGTCCTTACGAATGGATTTTATAGCAACCTATAAAGTCAGGAAATGAAATGTTACTCAGAGAACTAAACAGATGCAAATCTGCCATTGAAGGAGTTTGGAAAATAAATACAGATGTTACTTGTTGGCAGAGTCGGCAATAACCAAAACAAAGCTCCGAAATACCCGTCACGTCTTTCATTTATAGCAAAAACACCCTTCTCCCAGCGACAGAAAACATCAGGTTTTAACAGCCTGAGGTTTGGGATGGTGGCTTTTTTTTTTTTTTTTTTTTCATAAAGCAAAGGCTGCCTGATGAGGCCAGATTCATTTATTCTAGGAATCCTGGTTCTTTGCAAAAAAAGGGGAAAAAAAGGCAAGCTCAGTATACAGGGTATTGGGGATGGAGCACTGTTATGTGAAATGAGTTCCACAAGGCTTCACTATACAGCTACCAGGGTGGTGGCTTAAAGAAAAAAAAAAAAAGAGAGAGAGAGAAAGAAAAAACATTGTGTTGCCAATATCAATGCCAACTCTGCTTCAACGTGGGTTTTAAGACTCCAGCCTGTGCTGCACACATGCGATCGCTCAGAAGCCAAATTCCTCCTGCATTCTTCCTCTTGCCCAAGGCACCTTCAACAGGACTTAGTGTGACTAAAAAGCTCTGCTCAGAGACAAGTCATAGTCAAACAAAGGGAGTGACAGCTCATGTCCCTGCCCAGCCGTGATCAATTCCAACAGTTCTGGGCCAATGTTGTCTGCAAATCCAAACTAGCGGATTGCCAGGGCCAACGCACAGAGCAATCACTCCAAAGAAACAAATACAAAGGCATTCAATGACAACAGGAATCTAATAAGGAAAAATGTGTTTGCCAGCAGATTCATCTGTGCTCATAAACAAGTTGGTTGGTAATTCAATCCACCTTGGCTGTAAGGGGCGCAAACACTACTTGAGGGAGGGGGTATCCAAGGGTAACAAGGAAGCCCGCCAACCAATGTGCTGCCAGGTCAGAAAGCCTACTGTGTTCCTTCCCAAACTGGTCCTCTTATGTCCTCAGCTCTCACCTGTACCATCCTCTTCTACAGATGGAAGGCAGCGGAACCATCCTTCTGGATTATAAAGCATGGAATTATCCACAGGGAAAAGTACTTGTTATCAGCAGGCCAGGGCCACACCTGGAGCCTGGGTAACAGTCAGTCAACGTCAACCACAGTCAGGCTTAGCAGGAAAGCATTCACCTGGGGCAGCATGTGCAACTTCCGACTTAGACCAATCCTTGATCCACCACTATAAACGGAAGCATTTCTAAAACACAATCAGTTCATCTATCTATGACTAAATAAGAATCGAGAAGCTAGAGTTTCTGTTTTCATTATTTGCTGACCTCCCAAAAAACCAGTTCAGTCCAACCAGCAGCTCTATGTCCCCTTGGCCGTCAGTTTCCCAGCTATAACTCAGTCAGTATCTGTGTCTTTTCTTGACTCTACATTCGAGGGGATCTTGCTCACTGCTTTATCTCCAATCCTCAGCCCCATGCTTGGCAAACGGTGGACCTCAAAGAACATCAGGCAGAAAGGTAGGCAAACAGAAAAAAGGGAAGCATGAGGAAGGGAAGGGTTGATGGTATTGGGTAATGGGAGTCCAAACCAGAGGAATGGTAGTGGGATTAGGGCAAAAAAGGAGGGATTCTCCGGTAAAATAATACTGCCAAGATAGGCATGGCAGTAAGATGATTTAGAATTTCTTTGACAGCCTATCAACATGGGCAATCGAGGAATGGAGAAAGCAGATACGTGAATCCCAAGGTAGGCAACGACCTCCTTAGACCATGGTGGTTCCATTAAAGGAGGCTACACAGAGATAAATGAGCCTTCCAACTTGAAGGCCCCTTTTCATTATGGTGCCAGGCTCAGAGCTACCCCAGGCCCTCACGACAGCCCCACTCAGCATATAGCAAGAAAACCCCCCTTTGCTTACGTCAAACGCAAAGATATGACTGAGAAGCTTTATTTCTCCTGAGTAAAGCCTGCAGTCCAGGACCTTGTTCTGAGAGGAAGCAGTGAGCACACACAAGCCGGGAGGATGTGGGTGGCTGTTGGCCCAACTCCTACATTCCTCCATCAACTAAGATGGGCCGGGGGTAGAAACCACCCGTTTGATTATGCATCAAGCTGAACTGACAAGGCCCTCTTGTCAAATTATAACAGGGAAAAATTCTTTCACTATCCAGGGTCAGAGGAGGGGAGTGACATTCTAGGGGCAAGAAAATAAACCCCCTTGTCAGTTCCCCCCAAGAGGGGTGTAAGAGGCCGATGGTCTCACGACGTGCTTGCCAGGGGGCTGCTTGTAACCGGGTACAAAAAGGCAAGTGCCCACATTCTCCTGAAGCCCCACTGAGCACTGAGGAAACTAAAAGGGCTCCATAAATGTTAAGAGCCACGGTGGTTTTCCCTTCACGAAAGCTTCCTACAATGAATCTTCCACTGAAAATGCGAGAACAAAAAACAAGGGCTCATTCTGCTCCCTTGTTTCAAAGGGGTGATGAGAAGTCAGGAAGAAATCAATGCTTACGATCACTTAGGACTGTGCAGTTGCCAAGGCGGGAGGGAAGACATTCCACTTGCAAGAGCAGCGGATGATCCGCTCAGGGTCTGCCAGGGAGTTCATGGCAAACCGGGAAAACGGTAACGGCAGTAACAGTGGCAGTCAGCACCCATTCCACCCTTCAGACATGGCACCGACGCTGGGCTAAGTGCTTTCCACACCCCGGATCCTCGCATCCTGCTCATCACACAAGCTTCTGCTTCATGCCGCCCCCTCAGGGAGTTCCTCCCCAACCTCTCCACCTGACTGAGCCACCAATGCATCATGCTCCCCCCACACACACCCTTCCCATTTCATTTTCTTTGGGGCATTTCATACCAAATGAAATCATCTTTCTTCTTTATTTATTTGCTACATATTTGGCCTGTTTTTATAGAACCTAGAGAGCTAAGAATGGTTGTCACAGTTCTCGAAGATTGCTAAGAAACAAGATCTATAAATGTAGAGGCCCTGTAAGAGGGCCTGCGTCACGAAGCTGAAAGGTCAGCTGAGCCAGTGCACAGAGGTAGGACCGCACAGTGGTTGGGAACCTTGGGAACCGTCTTGGAGTCTCGGCTAAAATCGGTCTCTAGCTGCGTGACTGTGGGCAGCTTCCCCACTCATCAAGTAAAGTAACAGCCACCTGCTTCATGGGTCCCTGTGGGGACTGCGTGTCAGAGGCTTCAGGACATGCCTCGGCCAGTGTACCTGCTCAATAAACCTCAGCCATTGTTAACCCCGAGTGAGTGTTCATAACCAGACCTTCTTTTCTTCCTTTCTTCCCCAAAGCAAACTTGAATTCCTCCTGATTCCTCAAGGGATAGCAAGTGGAGGTTTTAGAAATGGAGACCGCATTTGTTCCCAAAGCACACCAAGGACAGGAGAATCTCCATCTTAGGTTAACCTCATCTGGAATACCAGGAAGCTCTGAATAGCTGGGGTCTACCATTATCAACACATTCTCTGAGTCCAAGACCAGACAGGAAGATAAACAACTTGAACCTAGAAAGTAGCCCCAGAGTCATTTTCACCCATCTCCTCATCGCCACCCCATTGGCTGAACAGGTGAATACGATGTTTCTACTTAGAATTAAAAATCTGTCTCAAATGCTCCACTTCAGCTGTTACCATCAATTGTGACTATTCGTTCTCTTGTTCTTTGTTAACATTTGTTGCCAGAGGGCACATTCACTTGCTGGAGAAAGACAGAGAGAAAGGGAAAGTGAGAAAGCACCCCACAGGAGGATGGCCATATCACAATCCCTTCTCCTCCTCCACTTCTCCTTCCCCTCAGGATTTTGGGTATATATGCACATGTGCCTGGTATATTTTTTAAGTTGCAGGGTCCAAACTTGAACCACGCAGTCAGCCATGTGGGATCCAGCTGCCTTAACCACTAGCCACAGGCTGGCCCCCTTTATTCCTTTTAAAGACAGAGAGAGGGAAAGTGATAATCACTCCCCTAGGGAATGGCCAACTGTAACCTCTTCTCTTCCATTCTCATCTTAGGATTTCAGACACACAGACACATGCACCCAGTGTGATTTTCAAGCCACTGGGTCCAGGACTCGAACCACAGTTAAACATGTGGGAGTACAGTGCCTTAGCCACCGTGCCATCATCTGCTGGGCCCCTTTTATTTCTTTTTGAGCATTGAGCATGTACCAGGCAGCACAAGAGGAAGCCAACACGATGCTGCCCTAGCTCTCAACAGGGGTGGAAATGGGGATGACATGAGCAATAAACAAAAATCTCAGTAATAATTATATAATCACCCTCAAGGCCAGGGCTACTAAGGAAAGATACAGATGTGCCAGGCATTAAGAAGGAAACCCCCTCTCCAGTGTCTTCAATCCTCACATCTGCAAAGAAAAACAGAAGCAAGGAAAGGGCCCAGCAGGAAGAGATTACCCAATGTCTGAAATCACAAGCCCTCCCCAAACAATCCGATCTTTTCCCCCACCAGTCAGAGCATGACTGGAGCAGGGAGCTCAGGTGTTTGAGCCCGACACACGGGACCGCCACCTCTATAAATGTTCCCAAGTCTAGACGGCACTGTGCACCTTATAAAATGGTCTGCTTTTAAATAAGGCCACCTTATAGTTAATGTTTAAACCTGCTGCAGCAGCAAGTCTGGCTGTGGGCCTGCCAATTCTGCCCTGCAGTGCCTGCCTATGAAAGAGGCCAGTTCAGCCCAGCAGATTCCCATCTTTAGTTAAATGGAACAGGCCCAGCCTTCTCTTTGGGGTTGGCAATTTTTCCATTCTTTGAAAAATCACCCACCTGCTCTGTGGGCTGCCAGGCATCCTGCTCCACGGTGGCCACTGTGAATATTAAGAGCCTGGTGATGCAGGCAGAAAAAGGAAAAACGGAGTGGAATAGTGAAAGCTCAACCTTGGGGCTAGGTGACCTCGGGCAAACCCAGCCTCCCACGCTCAGTTGTCATATCAGTACAGTGAGGTTAGCA